GAAGAAGAAGAAGAAGAAGAAGAAGAAGAAGAAGAAGAAGAAGAAGACATGCCTACCTAGTCACATGGCCACGTCCGCCTAACTACGCCCACAGAACCGGTTATTGAATCCCACCCCTGTGAGACATCATCCCCAAATGATGAATTATGTAATTGCATTCTCATTTGCAGTTGATGTCAAACTGTGATGATTTCCCCAAGTAAATGATGCCACTGTATTCTTGCATCATGACATCTTAAAATCATGGCATATGATTTTATAATAAAATCATGAGATTTTATGCAAGGATGTAAACTGCAGAATCTGAATGACCTTGTCATGCTACATGTCATCATTTACCCCTATATGACCTCCCTGCATGGATAACCATTTTGTGAGTTTGCTTTCTAGTTATGTTTTTGGGGGTGGCCAAATCGAGCTTAATAGCTAGATACCTATAGCAGTCTCTCCTCCACTCTTTCAGCCATCCCTGAGGTCACCCTGTCATGTATCATTCCAAAAAAATGATCTACCACAAATTAGCATATTGAAAATGGAACAAAGCCCTACCATTCCATCCTGGCTGCATGGAGCAATTTGGAACTGCTTGTTTCAAGATGTATTAATCACAGCATGAGGTGCTTTTGAAACGAGGCAAGTGTCAGGCGCGAAATCTCAGGACCACACATGAAGTTTCAGTTAAAGTGATTTATTACTAAATATGCTTATGCATGAGAATCTACTCAACTGAAAAATAAGGATCAACGGAATTAAAGACAGGTTGGACTTAATCCGTTTGTGGCTACATAGAGATGCTAGGCTGATTGCACATTTGACTCGACCTCCAAGTTCTGCCACACCTTCTCCTACAGTATAGTCAAATTTGACAAAACTTGTACCAGGTGGTCCCTCCTCACATAAATAGTTGCAGTGAACAATTGTGATTTCAAAAGCTGCCACTAAATTTTAAAAGCAGGTTGTGGGCAATCATCATTAATATTTATGCCCTTCCTTTTTTCTTCCTACCAATTCTACTTAAAAACAAAAGTAGTAAATAGGTTTTTTAAAAAAATATGTAGCTCTTCTAATTGATCTGTCTGAAAATTTAAAATTCAGTATGATGTGCCACAATGAAACCTGCCACTTCTCCAGGAAATGACTTCAATAAAGGACAACCACATTTTCTGACCTTGGTTGTTCTTGTGCAATGAGCAATTAACTCAGGTTTATTTAAAATTCAAGAAGAATTTTTGCACAGAGACATACATTCCGTACTTCTGGCTTGAAGAGTTAGTAAATTAAATTTTGGAGGTTTTATGGATTTATTGCAGACTGTCAGCCAGGGTTTCTAGCAATAGGTTGAGTGGACCTCACTATGAATCCAATAACCCATCATTAAAACAAATCCTGGCTTAGAACAATTACAGACCCAATCTGAGACAAAGGTGCCAGTTTACCTGTTCTTTCAACCAGTTTATAATCTACATGCTAGGAGATATTTTATTTAGTTGGATGGTGTACAATTCAGAGAGAAGTCACTGCCACAACAGTCCTGAATTGTTTTTGACTGATAAATGAAAAGCAACTGAGTCTTTGTTTGCAGTTCCTGATCTAACAACATATAACTGGCTCCCGAACTATGACCAAAAGGCTGTATATCATCTCTTTGTTTGTCTGCAGTGAAGCACTTAATTCAACTGGTTCTGGCAATCTACCAGCCACAACTTTCTCCTAGAAGTGAAAAGCTAAAGCAGTCGACAACAATGACTAAGCAGATGACAGTTATATGTAAACAGCTTTGACCTGCCAGCTGGCTTTCCTACAACATTCAATTGGGGGGAGGGGGGGGAATGGAAACATGGCAAACATTGGAGAGCATAACAAGAAGAGGCCAGAACTAAAATTGAGATTCAAGCCAAAGGGGGCTAACAGGTGCTGGTGGGATTTAGCACCAGGAACTATTCTGGAACAAAGTTATTGGCAGCAAATGATGATATATACTGCTATGGTTCGATAAACCATATAACTAAACCAGATGCTCTTGAGCCTTCAATCTTAAACAGAAGTTACTAGTAGATTTTGAAATTTCTTTCTATAAAAGAAATTGAAATTAGCTTTCACCAAGACTCCAAATTTGCCATCCAAATTTATTTGGATCCCCCAAGAATTCCCATCCAGGGTGGAAGTTATAATCCCAACCAATCCAGGAGGTTGGGCTGGATATTTTTTTTCTTTTAAAAAATAATAAAGTCTCCCACTAATTCTCTTGGGTTTTAACACCGATTACCGAAGATAGCCATTTTTATTCCACAATGCTTGCATCAAGTCTTCACTCATACAAATAATTCCTTCAGGGTTACTTTTTGCCCCTCTTTCATGTCTACCTTCACCCAACAGGTTTAACCTATTGACTGAATGAAACAATGTTTTTAGATCCAGAAAAAATATAGTACTGAACCACAAACTGAGTGACCAAGCAAACTTAATACACTGTGTGAATGCAGCCATAAAATCTGTAACTGACCCGCTAAAGCAAGCGGTCTGATCTCACCCAAGGACATCTATCTGACAAGTCAAGTAGTTGTTCCAAACATACATCCCAGATCATACATCATATGGTAATTAGATGATAGATGGATGGATGGATGGATGGATGGACGGTAGGTGGGTAGATGGATGGATGGATGGATGGATGGATAGATGGATGGATAGATGGATGGATGGATGGATGGATGGATGGATGGATGGATGGACAGGTGGATGGACAGACAGACAGACAGACAGGATAAAGACTGAGGCAGAGAGAGAGAAGGGTAGCACTTGTATCAGATCTGCATACACATATTATGACTATCTCCTATAAAAGGCTAGAGTTTATTGATACTTTCATTTATTTCATTTTATTTTACTCTAATAACCTGTGGATCTTTTGGGGACAAAAACAACCATATCTGAATGAACTGCCTCAATTAAGAAAACCAACCCTTGTCACTCACCCGCACAACATAGTTGAACCTTCTGGAATCCAGAATAGCGTTAGAGAAATCCAGTCTATTGAAAGCTTCTCCCAGGGTGCAATAGCCATGGCGCTAAAATAGAGAATGAAATACATGCAAGATTTATTTCTATTCTGATTAGGACTGAAAGGGTTGACGGTCTGGAATGAGATCTGTAGAACAACTGAGTATACTCGATTTCAAGGCTGAGAGGTCATCAGGATCTCCACTTTCATTAAAATGAGCACTAAAAGGGGTTTTCCAATGCAGCAATCATAGGGGAAGAATCTACTTTTCAACTGGAGATTTCTTGGCCTGGATCTGCTGATCACCAACCAGCATAGGTGCATCCTTTCTTTTCAAGGGCTTAGAACTATCACACTGCAGAAATGTCACGATGCTTTCATTTTATTTTATATTACATAGTCAAATACAAGGGATCATGAGGTGAAGTGGATGAGTCCAAATTAAGAAAATGGACAAGATCAAGATTTTCCATTTTCTTGGGCTCATGGGAGATCGTTTTTAAAATGTGTTTGCTATGCTTATGATACATGTTTCCCACCTCAGCACTTGAAGGGAAATATAATTTTGACCAATCATGATCTGGGAGCTTTTAAGATAACCAAAGGTTTATTCTTCCCCCTTAGATGAAGTAGGTCTGCTCTTTCTCAGTTCTAATTTGAATGAGTGCGATCTGAAGCAATGTTTCTGAATACTCAACCACTTTAAGATGTGGGTCTTCAACTCCCAGAATTCCCTAGGCAGTAGGAGAATTCTGGGAGTTGAAGTCCTCACATCTTAAAGTTGCTGAGGAAGGGAAATATTGGTCTAAAACAGGGATGTCCAACCTTGGCAAACTTTTAAGATCTGTCAGCCATACTGGCGAGAGAATTCTGGGAGTTGAACTCTGCAAGCCTTAAAGTTGACAAAGTTAGACGCTCCTGATCTACAACATTATACTGGATCATTTTACGAAATGCAAAGTGCAGCCAATCAAAAATCAGCACTTTTAGTAAAATATACCCATATTACAATATTGTCAAAATAATGTAGTCCATGTTATTAACTGCATTTAATGGAAACAATGACAGAAGATGGGAAATGTTCAAGCAAAATTATTATTTGTTTAAAATAATGATGATTACTCACTTCTTTGGTGCTTCCCTTGTGCACATAAATCCATTTTTCTTGGTGAAAATCTGTTCAAACGAAAATACATTCTATTTAAACTCATACAAACATTAATACTTTGGCCCATCTGGATTTTTACAAATACCCTCTCCCCCACAGCTATGGATACCCCTGTTTTTAAGAAACAACTGTGTATTAAAAACTCCAGTTCAAACATTCAGGATTGTAAAACGTTGAGATCAGTTCACTGGTGGGAAAGAAAGGGGAAATCTCTTCTCTGCCAAATACAAATGACAATAAGGTCAATGCAAAGGCATTGCACACAGAGCAAAGTTTAAAATCCAAGTCATCCATCTTCCCATTGCAATGAATCCAAGTTCTCTGGTTAAGGTCAAAATCCCAGTGCAAAATCTCTCCAGAAACTTCTGGAAGAGTTGCAAAAAACATTTCATGGTGTGAGAAATATGTTCTTTTCTTAGTTCTCCCTCCAACTGAACTCATCTCTTGTTAATTTGATATTCTAATGCATTTCTACTGTATAGGTCCTGTCTTACACTGAATCCTGGTCTTATTGTTCAGCTGGTCCTTCTTTCGTTTTTTCGCAGCCACATCGCAGTTCAGGTTGTGGAAGATGTTCTCCTTGTTGAATTCCTCTTTCCAGCAGTAACTGGAAATGATACAAGAGGGGTAGATACAAAGGGAAAAGAGCTTGAAACTCTTATACATTTGTCTTCATTAAGACTCCTCCACCCCTTCCTAAAAAGGAGTTGGAGTAGAAAGATAAACAGTTAAGTTGACGTATGTCCCAAAACTGCATTGGATGGCAGCCTCTTCTAAAAGACCAGAGGGATCGCATTTTCCTAAAAATAGTTGATTACCCACAGGAAGGTTAGTTGGGAATCATTAATAATCACGAATGGGGTCAGAAAACAGTGGTGGGTAGAAGATGGCAACCATGCAGAATTGCCTTGCTCTTCAAATGGACACCCCATAACTACAAACTTTCATCAGTGATGGCTTCTTTCCTCTAAAATGTTATGTCCAAGGTGGTTGGGATCCCTTCTTTCTCCCACCAATTGCTTTTCTGTTCCAGATCAAATTACAGGTCTGGACTGTCTCTATATTCATTGTTCTTAGCCCCCAGTTCGGTGTACCCCCCCCCCCTGGTTTAAGGCACCAGACTAGAAACAGGAAGATAGAGAGTTGTAATCGCACCTTAGATATGAAGCCAACATATGTGAGTTTGGGTCATTCATTTTCTCTCACTCCTAAAAAGAATGCTACTGCCAACTACAATTGAAAATGTTATCAAGAAATGTTGTCTGTCCAGGCAATCTCCAGGAGTTAAGACTGACTCGAAGGCACACAAGATCTTACTGAAATAAGGCCATTTTTTTAAAAAAAAATTCAATTCCTTTATTACACGCCAGTGGTTTTTAGTATTCTTCATCAATCTGATACCCTCTATGTGTGTGTAGGCTGAAGGTAATAGGGCTTGTATTACAGTACTTCTGGAAAAAGCCAAATAAAGGTTGGTTCTAAGATTTATTTGTTTATATATTTATATGCTACATTTATCTGAAATGCATTTTACAGTTCGGTTTTATCTTTATAGCCCCAGTTTATCATGCAAAGATGATTAAGAAGGATTTGTTTGCATCGTTCCTTCTTGTTTATGATCTCTGCTCTTTCAGGTTTTTCTTAACATGACTTTTATCAGTTCTATCATCTTTCCCTTAAGCAAAGGAGTTTCTTCCTCAACATTTATGTGTTGCATCTCTTCCTCTTCCCTTCTCTTTCCTTGAAGCCCTTCTTTTCAACGTGGCTTGCTCTCTTAATCTTCTACAATCAACCTTTGCACATACCCTAACAGGATCTGCCACATTCTCTCTTCCCAAAGTTTTCTGCCTCTTGCTTTCTTCTCCTTACTTTTATTTTAGACAATAAATCCTTTAAAGGTATGGAGGTTGGGCAGATGGACCCTGCACACATTGAGAATGCCACAAAAAAAAAAAATCAGAGATGGCTAAATCGACTCCTTTGATCAACAAAAAACCACAATTACTCTTGTTTTTACTTAGAAACCGCTTCTGAACTTTGTGCTTGAGGTGGAAATAAATGAAACTTTGATTTGGGGTTTTACCGATTAGATTTTTTTGTTATAGAAATGGCTAATTTATACTATTGTGTAAAAGTAAAAAGTTGAGGTTTGATGTTGCTGTCTTATTGTACTGCACCAAAGGGAGTCACAAGTTAATGCCTTGTTTTCTTTTTTCCCTTCTTTTCTACACTTCTCCCCTTATTTTTCCTACTATTTGCTTTTGTATTCTTGTATTTTATATTATAAACTAATAAAAAAAGAAAAGAAAATGCTACAAAAAAGATCTGATTTTCAATAAATAAATGAGTATATATTGACTGTTCTATACTAAGGGGAACTTCCCTGTGCCCATTGATAGAGAAGCATCTTCTTCTGGCTTCTATCACCCAAATATTTGGAAGAGGTACAGGAGTAATGGCTCAGTAATAGCATATGCTTTGCAAATAGAAGCAACCATCTTCAGCATCCTTAGTGCTGTTAGGAAAGCTCAAATTTTTGAAACCTTAAGTAGTCCCCTCTGAACATTATAAAGATTACCCCAAAACAAGCTTGGTTCCATCACTTCATAGATGTGTCCATGAACAGTCATTGGTTTGCTAACAGTGCACGATTGTTAGTTCTGGGGTGTTGTTTTTTTTCCAATTTCTCATCGAATCCTGGAATTTCCTACAGGTCTCCTTTGCAAATACTAACCCTGATTTGCTTTTTTTTCAGGGTCAGCCATGTTATGGTAAGTGCTATCATCTGGTATGACAGATGAGCCAGTATCACCCAGAATAGATAACACTGATTTGGTGGTTCCATGAACAATGACTGGTCTCCTGAAGTAACCCAGTTCTGCATCTGTTCACCACACTGAACCAAAAATTAACTCAGATGGGCTGGGTTTATACAACACAATAAGACTTTAGAAACTAACCTTGGTTCAAACTACAAATGTAGACCCCAGCTCTTTAACTGACCTAGTTAAATGTATTGTGTGGACAGAGTTAGCAATTGGCAGAATTGAAAGTTCACGTAAGCCCTATAATCTTGTCTAGTGACACCATTCTTCTAACTTCACCACAGCAGTGATTAAATGTATGGGAGATACCCAACTAACCTGTTGGCCTATTGGGTGGGGAGAGAGGAGAATCCTTATAGAGGACCCCAGAGTTGCTTAACATGGTTTGTAAGTAGAATCTGGCTTCCTCATTGACTTTGCTTGTCAGAAAGTCATCTTTTGTCTCAATATCACAGTGCCATCATGACAACCAGACCAAGGGCAGCCCATGTAATATATTCAAACTTATAAGAGATTCAACCATTTGTTTTGCAGGTAGGTAGAAATACAAAGTCCATGTACTCTGATCCCTGGTTTTTGCATTAACACCATTCTGACTTTGATAGTCCATTATTTCAAGGCCCGTTGCAATCAGGAAGGAACAGCAAGTTAAAAGAATTATCTATAGAGGTTTTTTTTTTTTAAAGTTAATTATAAATAAGTTGAACCATATAGCAGTTCCAGAAAATGTGTGATGACCCAGGGTGGGGTACAAAACAAACACAGTCACAGAAAACAGGTGAAGCCACTTTTATGCCTTCACTTTGCTTCCAAGCTCCGAATATTCTTGACTGAAGTCAAAAAGCTCCCACACAAACAGTTACAAGAAGAAGGGAAAAAGCAACACAAACCAAGCAAGATAAGGGCTGGAGGACGTCCACAGATAACACACACTGGGAAGGACGCCAAACTCAGAGAGGAATCATAAACTAGAGATATTTCCACGCTTTGTTTCCAGCGTTTGCCCGTACGCAGGTCCGTACTCTTAATTCAGTTGTCACAGCTGCAGCCCATGAAGAGGATCAAAGCCCTCTCCTTCCGAGTAGACCGTGTCTCTCCCTTATCCTCTCCTCCCTGCATGCCCTAGGATGGAGAGGGGATGGGCCTGGGTCCTCCTCTGACTGCTCAACTGGCCTCTGCCCTTCCCCAGCCTCCTCCACAACCTCCGGAGCCACACTTCCACTCCCTGTCGGCTGTTCCTCCTCTCCCTCAGAGTCAGTCTCCACCAGGGGCAGGACAAAATGTCTCATCTTCAGAAGGATGCTTCTTGATACAAGATACAAGATACAGCTGCCATTTTCTCAACCCTCCCCAAAAAACCAAAAGCAAAGCTTTCACAATCATAACAGTCATTAAATACCAGTTGCACCACAAGACCCATGACCTTTGGGTAATAATCTTCCCCTTCCAATTAACCACTTCTTGCTCATTTGATGTCACAACTTCCTGTTTGTGTCACATCTAAGATATATCACTGATACCTTCAGGCACGGTCACACTCATGTCTCATATATTTACTAAGTGCAATTCAGACTTCTTCCAAGGTCTAAAAATACTCTCAATGCGAGCTGGAGATTGCAAAGAGGATGACTGGGGAAAGCAATGTGAAACTAAAGCTGTCTTATGCATCCAGGAAGAATGAAGATCCAGGAAGTTACATTTGACTTAGACTTCTACTTTCAACTGCCTTTCTACTGAGAAGTACAGAGGCAAAGATAGAGGATCTATCCAGTTCATGCAAATCATGGGAATACAAACTGAATTATAGGTAATCCTCAATTTACAACCACAATTGAGCCCAAAATTCCCATTACTAAGCAAGACAGCTGGTGACTTTTGCCCCATTTTATGATCTTTCCTGCCACAGTTCTTAAGCGAATTACTGCACTTGCTTAAGATAACTTGCTTAACATGGTTTGTAGGTGAATCTGGCTTCCTCATTGAATTTGCTTGTCAGAAGGTCACAGAAGATTATCACATGATCTCGGGACACTGCAACCATTATAAATGCATGCCAGTTGCCAAGCTTCTGAATTTGGATCATGTGACCATGAGGCTGCTGCAACCATCATAAATGTGAAAAATGGTCATAAGTCACACTTTTTTCAGTGCCACTGTAACTTCAAATGGTCATTAAACAAACAGTTGTAAATCAAGGATTATGTGTAACCTCTGTCATGCCCTTGTCAGATTCTGGCTCAGAGGCCGAGCACACTCTGTAGGAGTCTGGCTCTGTTGGCTGTGGAAGAAACTGGGGAAGGACAAAGTCCGGCTGGGCAGAGCAGAGAAGAGGTAGAACAAGGGAGAGGGAGTTCAGAGGAAGATCCAGGCCCACCCCCTCTTCATTCTAGGGCACGCAGGGAGGAACGGAGAAGGGAGCAACATGGATTGCATGGCTTATGGGGGAGGAAAGAGCCCTGATTCCCTTCATTAGCTGCAGCTGGGAACACAGTGTATAAAAAAGGAGGCTGTGTGCAGCAAGATGTATCATTATGGCTTATCTGTGTTCCTGGCATTTTCCCAACTGTGTGAGTTTTGCTGTGCTTTCAAGTCTGAAATTCCTTCTCCTGCCCTGTCAAGTTAATTACTGCAGTGTGGTTTGTTTGGATTTTTAGTTACAGTTTGTATATACTTCGTTTTCTGACTGAATTTTCTCCACTTAAAGGCTGTTCCTGGGAGTTTTTCTCCAGCCGAAGTTAACCTGGACATTGGGAGCAAAGTTGGAGATAATAAAAGGACTCTT